GAGAGAGAGAGAGAGAGAGAGAGAGAGAGAGAGAGAGAGAGAGAGAGAGAGAGAGAGAGAGATTTCCTTTTCAAATATTGTCAGATTTCTGCACTGGATTCTGCGCAGAAATATGGGCAAATTCATTCAGAAATGGCCTCTGCGTTCAGGAGTTTTCTTCTCTCCGAACACCCTTAGCAGCACGGCAGTAACGTCGGGGACGACAACCAGGCCAGAAGCTTGTCCAATCCCGAAGTTGCACGTGCTACTCTCATACGTCTCCCCTTAGCCCACCTAGGCCACAATCTGGTCCGGCTGCAAAGTCTCCCTGTAGAACGTGACCCGCCGCCGAAGATGAGGCGCACACGCCTCTGCAATCTCCCGGGACACTCACTGCGACATTCGTAGCTTATCCCGGAAGTAGTCGTCGCATTGCCTGAGGTCTTCCCACGTGACTCCTGTCCTGCGGTTCACCCACCACCGCGGCGTCGCACGAGGAATCACTCCGCAACCCAACACGTAGCACAGCTGAACAACAGCCTCCGACGTCGCCACGTATTCGGCCCCATCGTCCGGACCTTGCGTCAATGTCCCCCGTCTACGCGCACGTAACTGCTCCTTCAGTCGCCCCAGCGCCCTCTCCTGCTGACATCGAAGAACGATCGTGGACACGACCGCCTCCACGGCCTGCAGCTCATGAGGCGTCAGCACATCACGTCTACCCTCTCCGCCGCCCTCTACAGCCGCGACATGGACACGGACACGTCGCTCCGCTGCTGACGGTGTCGTCTTTCCGCACCCGACGAAGAAGCCAAAGACGTTCGTCGAAAGGTGGCCCCTTTTCTTTGCTTACAGTCCCGCACACGGAAACGAGGAGCAAGGCGCAGTCGACGTGTGCAAAGGTCCACGACGATGGATGGACCACACACTGCCCGCGCAGTTGCAACGGCCTCGGGCTACGAAACAACCTCAGCGGCGGACACGCGCGCCCGAGTCCGCGACCCCCGCGGACGCGTGGCGGCCGGTGGGGAGGGGGGTTGGGGATTTGGAAAGCGCCATGGGGCGGCGCATCCCCAGCCCCACCCCCTCAAACAAAAAAAAAAAACAAAAAAACTAATTTTTATGTGGGAGGGTTTGGGTGAGTAATGGTATTTAAAAAAAAAAAAAA